CCCCAAGACCTCGTGAAATTTAACAGACAATATTATATAAAATAAATATATATATATATATAATATATTGTGACATGACATGATATGATATGATAATAAGTAATAAAATATAATACATTACAAACAAATTAATTCAATATAAAAAAATGTCCAATAAAATATAATATTACAATTATGTTATGATATGATATGAACATATTTAATATAAAACATATGTATAATAAAATAACATATAATATAATATAATATAATAAAACAAAATATAATATAATATAATATAATATAACATAATATGATATAATTTAATATAACATAATATAATATAGTATAATATAATATGATATATTGTAAAATAATATGATATAATAGAAACTATGATATAATATAATATAATATAGTATAATATAATATGATATATTGTAAGATAATATGATATAATAGAAACTATGATATAATATAATATAATACAATATATTATAATATAATATGATATATTGTAAGATAATATGATATAATAGAACATATTATAATATAATATAAAATAATAATATATAATATAATATAATATAATATAAGATAAGATAAGATAACAATATAATATAATATAGTATAATGAAACAAAATATAATATAATCTTATATAGTATAATATAATATAGTAAAAAATGAAAAATTAACTTCTAATGAATATAATATATAAAAATAATATATATATATATATGTATTCATCGTGATAATTAATGGTGATATACCAATCATGTTGGGTATAATGGTGTGCATCATATTGAAAACCAATCATATGATATTTGAATATGTCTGCAATAGTCTTAACTCCAGAAATAACAATTTTCATGGGCTAGTGTGTAATCATCCAGTAAAGTTTATCGAATTTTCAGATAACTCAAATTGCCTCGATCAACCTGAAAAAAACTAATCCATCGTTGGTTTGGCCAAAAGAAAGCCATCCCTTTTGCAGGAATCTTCATGGTTACCTAGTTGAGTTGGCGGAGTTGGCAATGTCAACCCGGATGAATTTTGTCACGGGCTGTTGATCTAGGGGGGTTACTAGACCCCGAGTAGCAACTTGTATATCGTTGTTTGGCGTTGTGAAGCATTAGGCTGACCTGGATTCTACATGACAGCGTGGCGGATAAATAATCACCCGCATTCAGTCAACTCGTGAGCACATCCTGAACCAAAAAATACCAGCTGGACTAACCGCACAAGCAAGCGATCTTTTGGGAAATGTGGATCTTCCACTATCTTCCCATCAAAATGGCAACCCAAACAAGCCATAAACTTACCCTTCACCAATTGGTCGATTTATATTTTGATGCTTCACTTCTCATATTTTGTGGGTCAACCATTTGTTTCTACCAATTTTAAGCCAGTGCCTGTGCACACATGGCAGTTGCCATGTGGTCGCTAGCATGGGTGCTGCCATGGCGGCACAGTTCGTTTAGGGTACAGGAGATTAGATGCATATTGTCACATCCTTTGTTGCAACAGCTAGCCTCATCTAGCCTCTATCTTCCATGTATAAGAAACATATTTCTGGGCTAGTCTCAACATGCACGGGGGATACTGCGTATTTATTGGACATCTTACAAGAACATTATGATCCATGGGATTTACCATGGGAAAAATTGGGGGGTTTCACCATCGCCAATGTGGATCCTTCGGGTCGTGACAAGGTTGATCTGCTTGACCAAAGAACGGCTGATATATTGGTAGTTTTGGGTGTGTCTGAAAATGGGGGCTACACCCGGTGAGTACAGCCCAAAAGGATCCAAAAGGATCTTCCAAGAGACCCTGGAAAGAGATATTCTGGGATAGCCAGCTGGCATGGTTTTCCGTGTTGTTCCCTGCAGCTTATCATTTCTTGTACTCTCTGCCTTTCCCGGCTGTTCTCCCTCAAAAGTCTTGGTGCCCAGCACAAGGTCAAATGGTGGGATTAAACCACGCAGCTTGAAATACAGAATCTTTTAGAGCCAACCACATTACCTTTCGTAGATCATGATCCAACTTTTGAGGGATTTAGTATGATTTAGTATGATTTAGTATGATTTAGTATGGTACATGTTGGTAGTTGCCTCTATCCTTCACATGGACAGCATTCTCTCACAGCATATAGCGAAACAATGCGGTTGCGCATTTTCTCAGCAATGCCATTGACTCAACAAAATCGAATGATGCATTCCACCCAAATTGTCAGGTGGGTGCAGGTTGGCTCAGAAGTGGATGAAATAATATCTGAAGAACTGTATGAAAATGAAAAAAATGGATGATAAACCACTGTTTCTCTTGCGTCTGCTCTTTTTGGAATCTCGGCTAGCCACCTTGTGCCAGCAAATTTCCGCACATGGAATTGCACTGGGAATGTGTCAAAATCGTGCAAGTGGTGGATTTACGCAACATGCACCACTATATATTGTTTTCACAAAGGTCATGCACTAGATTTAGATGTTAAGTCAAGGTCTTAGAGAGATGTTGATGCAAGACAAGTTCTGGCCCACATGGTTTTGAAGAAGATGCAGTGTGTCGGGCATCCAACCATCCACCAGGAATGTTGAATGCCCAGCTTAATGCCATTCGCGAGGTGTCGGTCACGCCTGCCAGATGAGTCCAGTCACTATGTGGGCCCCCAAACCTTGAGATGTTCTTCTGAGATATGGCCTCATAGGGAAGTTAAGAAATAATAGAGAAACCGACCCAAAAAATAGAAAAAAACACATCCTACTAAACAAGTGGTGATTTAAAAAAGTCACTATGACTTGCAAAACTCACTTAGAAAACTTGACATGTTTCTTCAACGTCTATATACCAGTAGTACCGCGCAAGGCGGTGGCCGAAGTTTCAAAGATAGGAAACTATAGGAGAGGTGAGTTGTTGTGATGCATGGATGGCAGAGCGAACCCACTGATGGACCGAAGTGGCTGGAGTTGTCCTTCTGTAGCGTAGCGTAATGTAATTGTTGTTGTAGTTGTAGTTGTATTGCAGTTGTAGTTGTATAGAAGCTGTAGTTGCAGTTGTGGTTGATGTTGTTGTAGCTGTAATGTTGTAGTTGTAGTTGTAGGTGTAGTGGTTGTTGTAATTGCCGTTGTTGTAGTTGTAATTTTGTAGTTGTAGTTGTAGCTGTAGTGGTGTGTAGTGTGGTGCAGTGGAGTGTAGTGTAGTCTAGTGGTTGTTGTAGTTGCCGTTGTTGTAGTTGTAATCTTGTAGTTGTAGTTGTAGCTGTAGTGGTGTGTAGTGTGGTGCAGTGGAGTGTAGTGTAGTCTAGTGGAGTTGCAGTTAAAGTTCTAGTTAAAGTTGTAGTTGAAGGTGTAGTTGTAGTTTTAGTGTCATGTAGTGTAACAGTTGTAGCTGTAGCTGTAGTTGTAGATGTAGCGTAGTGGTAGCTGTAGTTCTAGTTATTGATGCTGTAGTTGCGGTTGTAGTTGTGACTGAGGTTGTAGTTGTAAGTGTAGTTGTACATGTAGTAGTAGCAAAGGTAGTTGTACATGTTGTAGTCGTAAATGTAGTAGTAGTAGTAGTAGTAGAAGTAGTAGTAGTAGTTGTTGTTGTTGTAGTAGTAGTTGTAGTAGAAGAAGTAGTAGTAGTAGTAATTAGTAGTAGTAATTAGTAGTAGTAATTAGTAGTAGTAATTAGTAGTAGTAATTAGTAGTAGTAATTAGTAGTAGTAATTAGTAGTAGTAATTAGTAGTAGTAATTAGTAGTAGTAATTAGTAGTAGTAATTAGTAGTAGTAATTAGTAGTAGTAGTAGTAGTAGTAGTCGTAGTAATCATAGTAGTAATCGTAGTAGTAATCGTAGTAGTAAATGTAGTAGTAGTAGTAGTAAATTTCGAAATGTGCTTTGCGCGAAGGCGCCGTACACTTTTTGAACCTCTCAACTTCCAAACCTCGCACCTGGATCTTATTTCTTATGACTCTTTCTCTTCTGACTTTTTCTCTTCTGACTCTTTCTCTTCTCTGCCTCTTTCCACCTCTGCTTTTCATCTGTCCATATTATTGGAAGTTTGACTTCTAAACTTCCTTCGGCTATACATATACGTATAGATGTCCATATGTACAATTGCTTCAACTATCATGCCATCACGCGCTCGATTCTATCTGCATTACCCATTGCTCCTATATGGGTCTGTCTGGGTGAAAATTGGGTTATATAATCATGATTTCCACATGAATTTGTCATTTTGGGGTATACCGTTATTTTCAGACAAACTTACAGAAATCAAACTTATAAATAGCAAAGGATGCAGGCACTAGGACGAAGCAGCTGCCGTTTTCCACCCGGCTGTGCGGTCATTGAACGTGGCGGTCCAGGCGGTTGCAAAGCCACGATCCGTAGGCAACCAGTGCCTGGTTAGGGATCCTGGTTTTGGCGAAGGTGCAACTCTGTCATCAGAATTTGGCAGTGTTTTGACATGTTTTGACTCCCAGACTCCCAAACGTTTAAAATTGTTTCAAAATTATGCAAAGCATATCAAAGGATCCCAGCTGTGCTCCAATTACCGTCTGCAAAGGTACGTTGGCCCCATCAACAACCCCACATACAGTCCCAGAAGGTACTGGAGCAGCATTAACAATAAAAACTATAATATATATATATATATATATGATTAAAACTATATATATATAGTTAATTATAGTTCTATATTATACCACTTTGGCCCACATGGACATTCGATCATATTCAGGTATACATCCTGCGATTCCCGATTCTACCTCCAGTCTCCACGTAGGAAAGTAGGCAAGCGCCGGTTAAGCTATGCTATCACTTCTTGCTCAGCAGCTGCGGCTAAATATGGACCATTAGTGACCATAACACACTGGCCGTGAATATAATCCTACAGCGTTGCACCAAATCAATCCCTGTTTGGTTCAGTCAAACACCTGGCAAAACTTGGAGCAACAAAAAAATCTGATCATCTGGGTATGGGACAAGAACAAATCGGCCAAGCCTCACAGTTGTTTTATTTTTGCTACCCTTTACCATCCAACTTGGGAGAAACGCATATCAAGACCCATACCCATGCATCATCTATACTGCAATCTATACTGCATCTGGAGGCTCTGGAGGCAGAGACCTCCAGTCCCTTCATTCTCAGCAAAAGGTTGTGACTGGTTTAGCCAGCAGAGATGCCACTTTCCTTGGATATGGCTGGCTATTGTACCCCAATATAGCTGGATGGTTTATGTCATGGAACATCCTATTAAAATTGCCGATTTCGGGGTACCCCAATTTAGGACACCTCCATGTGGTGAAACTGATAAACATCACAAGTTTGAGCCGGTTAGATTCTTTGATCGGTAGCCAATGCCCTCCTGAACACACTTGAAATCTTCCCAATCAATGTCGGAACCCACAAAAGGTAGCATCTCTATATTTATATATGTGTATATATGTATAATTTTTATATCTATATATATATTTACAATATATATATATAAATACATATTGTATATGCATATATATATATATTATTAAATTTTGTCACATTTTATTAAATTATATTTTATTATATTTTATTATGTTGTATTTTATTATATTACATCATATTAAATTATATTCTATTATATTTTAATAAATCATATTATATTATAATATACTATATTATCTTATATCATACTAAATTAAATTTAATTATATTATATTAATATTAATCTTAATATTAATATTAAATTACATTATATATATTATCTTATATACCAGTCCTTTCTGACTAAGGGTCGGCCCATCAGGTTCTAGTGATCCTGTCATCACCCTTTTGTTCCCCTGACCACTGCTTGGATCTAATCAGTGGTTTCAACACATCCGAGAAATAGATATGAATGGCTGGCGCGATCGGGTCGCGATCGGTGTAAACTGTCGATTTTCCACTGGGTCGAGGGAATAGATGATGTGGCTATACCAGTACGATACCAATTAATTTCCAGAATCATCCAACTGAAGTTTGGATTGATGATCTGTCAATGTTTTTTAATATACCAGTTATTTTCGTGGTGGTAGCCTAATTACTAACCATGGATCCAATGTCCAGTCGGATCATCCTGTGTTGGTGGGTAAGAAGCCATCTTAGGATAGGATTAGGGCATGGCTTCTGGAAATATGACTTATGATGGCTTATGACATCTTATGACTCTACTAATCAACCATAAATTAACCACAATTATTATAGATTAACACCATCTAGATGATAGGCGCACTATTACAGATAACCCATGATAACCCATAATTTCACCATTTAACCACTTGTAATCCTATAACCGTCGCATCGCTGAGCATCTTCAGCACTGCGGAGGTTGGAATGGCCGCCATGGGCGAAATCTGCGTCTTTTCGCCGGTGCCGGTGCCCTGTTGGAAGGTGGCTTCGTTTAGGGTGTTGGCGATGTCCAGGACGTAACCTGGGACCCAAGTTGGGCCCGAAATCAGCTATTGGGGTACCCCCATGACTTAGGAACCCCCTATCTATTTATAGTGACTTAGTAACATCCAAAAAGAAAGAAACGGGTCAAATCCCACTGAACATAGAGATATATGATGTTGATAAATATAAATATATATATAATATATATTATATATATTATATATTATATATATTATATATATTATAATATATATTTTTATTAATCTTTTTGGGGGTTACATTCCGTTATGATATGTCCCTATACCATCCTATACCCAAAATGTTGGCCTGTGCTGGGATGACTCCCTTCCCAAGTGTTCGGGGGTCCCAACTGGGAGGCTTCCACAAGTCCGTTGGAAGTCGGAGGATCTGGACGAGGAAACACAACAACCTGCTTCTTGGGGGAGCCAAACCTGCATGATTACCTTCATCATGGTCAAAAGTGCGCAGGACTCAGGGCAGAGTTCATCTGTTTTTGGGCAAAGGAGGGCCATCTTGGCCTGCTTTTTCTATGGGCAAAAGAAACTTAATGGAAATAAATCAGTGATGCTATTAATCACTATTCACAAACCTGGAACCTTTGGTATTAGCGAAGTTCCCAATATGTGGAAATCATCATCTTTGGTCACATCACGTGCGTGAAGCCAAGTAGCGCTTCCCGGCATCATTGGAAGAGTCCAACTTCTCCTTTGGATAGATTTGGGGAGCTTTGCTGGTATGATGTTTGCAGGAAAATGCGTTCATGTCTTTGCTCACGTTTGCACAATTCTGCAGATATTTGCCGTTTTTTTTGCCGACTTTGACTTGAACATTTTGCACCATGGAAAACAAATAAAAACCATGGGATGCCCATAACCATCCATTGGGGGAGGACCAACCATAACCATCCCTGCCCTTCCGCCAGGGACATAAATTCGATTCAACTCCCTGACGCTGTGGATTTCGATCTCGGGATAGATCTTATTCGCGTCGCACCTGGGCGTTCTGGGACCGAATTGGGGATGAATAATGAATATAGTGGATGTCCGATGTCTGGTTCTTTAGCTGGAAAATCATGGAAAATCCATAATTTCAAAGCATCATGACGAGCTGTTGAAGACGGAACATCACTGAACAGATTAGACTCAGATGTGCTCAATCCAGTCACTGAATCTCTGCCGCTATCTCATACCTCACCTCTTCGGCTCCAACTCCAAGGCTCAAACATCGAACGCAACAGGCTTCTAGCTAGATAGCGGTAAAATTGCCTGGCCCCCCACATTATCTTGGTGCTTCTATGATTGTCCAAGTCTTCTTTGGATATAAAGCCTCTGATTTTTGTGGGGTTCCAAGATTCTATGCAAAAATGAACCCTTTTTTGGTTCACAGCAGCCATCTGAGTAAATCATAATACTACTATTAATAATCCACTAAGCTGAAAAATCAGGCCACTGATCTTCTCTTTGGCCGGCCACACAGTCGCTGAATTCTTCGGCCATTTTGGAATCATTCCCCTCCAAGCAACAAGTCAATCACCTCCTGGGTGTTTGGAATGCCTCCGATCCCAGAGAACGTTACCTGGCACGTTGCGGGACCGAGCCAGGTGTGGCCACGGCGTTTGAAAAAAATCGCCGGAAGCCATGAGAACAGCCCATGGTCAAGTAATAAGTACCATGAAATATTTAGGGTTTATAATCTATAATTCAAAATAGATACTCGTATGGATTAATATGGATAGACATAAAATTACAATTATATTATGCACATGGATTAGTAATACTGTAGGGGATGAACAAAATCATTAGCAAACTAATAAGTCAAACATAATCAATTGTACTGGGATGTAGCCGCTGTAGCCGACCAACATCTACTAAATTACTTAATAACCACGCGGCAAATCCCTTGACCGTTCAAGCCACCTCTGAAAATTCACGCATGTTGGATTTCTTGACAATCACTATGCATTTCTGATGTTGGATTTGAGGAAGGTCCAAATTCAGAAAAAGAAATCAAGCAAACTTGTGTCATTTCCACAACGTTGACACACATGGGCTATGTCGGTTTTGATAGCTCCTCTGGGGACACCCAGTCAACTGTCTCCGAGCTGGAAACAGAAGAATGGGGCCCCGGCCAGATTTATTGTTGGACTTGGCCCAACAATGTAAGCTTCCATCATATTTTAAGGGTGTACATCCGAAATAATTCTCAACTCTCAATGCATGTTCACGCAAAATAGCACTCGATCTCCTAATGTCCAATTACCTTGGCCCAAATCTCATTCAACTTTCATGCCCACATATTAGCAGTACGCAATTTTCACTCTTTAGCTGGGTACGTTAGTTAACATGTCCTAATCGAACTGCCAAAAAGTACGCCATCCCCCGACCCTTCACCAGTTGGTTGGTTCATATTTTCAGGATTTTTCAACTATTTCTCAGGTTTGATCAGATCATATCTTCTTGTTAAAACCCTGACTTGCTGGTATCAAACATAGCAACTGAGTTTGCTCAAACTTCCATTTGGAGGAGAATTCCCTGGAGGTGCATCCCATGCGTTGTATCGTTCATGAACCACCAATCAGTTGATAATCCATAGCTAGTTTTTCCAAATCATGATTAACAATGAGTAGCCATAACAACACTTAATAGTTGTCAAGTAGTGATTATAGTTGATAATCCCAATACCTAATGGTTGCATTGTGGATCAATTGATTACTAAAAAACATAATTACTAATCATAGTTGATTGATGAATCCAATAATTATCCACCATAACAAGGTCTGAACATAAACATAGGTTTACTGAATCCACAATGTACTAACTATATGTCATTAGATGACAATCCATAGTTCATAATCCATATTTAGCTGGTTGGTTACTAATCCAAAGATATCCATAGTTAGTTCATAACCCATATTTAGCTAGTTGGTGAATAATCCAAAGATATCCATAGTGAGTTCATAACCCATATTTAGCTAGTTGGTGAATAATCCATAGATATCCATAGTTAGTTCACAACCCATATTTAGCTAGTTATTTAATAATCCATAGATATCCATAGTTAGTTCATAACCCATATTTAGCTAGTTATTTAATAATCCATATATATATATATATATATCCATAGTTAGTTCATAACCCATATTTAGCTAGTTATTTAATAATCCATATATATATATATATATATATATATCCATAGTTAGTTCATAATCCATATCTAGATATATTTAGTTGATATATGCTGATGTGATCATCCATGGTTGATCCATAGCTAATCTGTCACATGTCCCACCTTCGAGGCCCCAAAGGTCATGGCATTCACCGCGAAGGCGCCAAAAGTGGAGGAATTGAGGCCCAACAAAACGTGGTGGCCGCTCTTCTTCAGCAGCGCCGTGTAGATGCCTTAGTGTTTCGAGGGGACTGGGTGGTTGGTCACGGAGGTTTTCTGGAGGAAAATCCCATCTATAAATGGATGATACCTAGGGGTAGCCCTATTTTAAGAAGCTTCCCCGAATATATATATATATATATATATGTATATGTATATATATATATATGTATATGTATATATATA